TACTGTCAGATACATGAAGAGAGAACAGAGATGGGTCACTTCCTTTACCAACACGGGGGGAAAAGAGAAAAGAAAGAAATCCTTTGCTGAGGGTCACATTGGTGTTGTTCACATGTGTGAATCTCCCCTAAGGGGGTAGCACCATCTCCTTACTCCTTGTGTGGTGGGGCCTGGGAAGGGCATGTTCCTACACTTTCAGCACAGACATGGAGGGTTAGGGTCATGGAGAAGGGATGAATGAAGGTCACACAGTGGACTTTCCATAAGTGTCCTGTGAGTGTGGCCAGATTGGTCACTGAGATAATAAGGCATCTGTGTTTTTATGAATATTCTAGCTATTATAAATAATGGCCCCTGATTTGCCTAACTTCTCTACTGAGCTCAATACAATCTGGTCTATGGGGAGTGGGATTTATTCATTACATATTAACCATGGAAAGACTGAAAAATTAAGAGGCAAATGGTCTGTGTAAGGGCTATGGGGCCTAAGAGGAAAAACTAAGGGAAAAAATAAGAAATGCCCTACTGTGCATGTGAGGAAAGTGCAAAGCAGAGGGTTTGTGCTGAATAAGCGCAGAAGAGCTAAGAAAGTGGCTATCAGACACCTTGACTTAACCACACAGACAGACAAGGGTATATAGGCTAGGAAGGACCAGAAAGAAGGGTATCCATCTATGAGTATGGAGCAACTGACATCCATGCTGAGTGAAGCTGTAGCACAGCAGCTGCACAAGGGTCACCCACGCTCTGTAGGTAAGCCCAATAAACTCATTCGTTCCCCAAAGTGAAGTTTAGTGGAATCAGACTTTGGTTTGTCATTGTGACAATATGAGGAAAGGGTAGATGTTGTTTACAGCTCCACAACGAAGGGATTTTCACAACTAACTTGATTTTAGAAGTGTGAGACCAGGAGCACAGAAAGCTTAATAGCATCAGAAATAAGTTAGCAGACTAGCCAGGGACACTATCTAGTTAGCTTTATATGGTTGCTTGAAGGACTTGAAGGTTATATGGACCAATTAATGTTCAGACCACAGTTTCATCCTGTGTTTTTCAGTTACAAGTCACATTCCTTTAGTTGGTCATGAAATCAACTTTACAGTCAAAGCCAGTATTTTTTCTTAATGAAATGTGTGTGTGTGTGTGTGTATCTCCATCTATCCAACTCTCTATGTACCTATAACATTTAATATTGCTTCATGAAACTTTCAGTTAATATCAGACACCAATTATCTTAGCTTCTTTACCTGTTGCTGTGACAAAACATCCTGACAAACTCAAGGGAAAAAGTGTTTATTCCAGCTGAGAGTTCAAGGATACCATCCATCATGGTGAGGAAGTCAAGGCAGCAGCAGCCAGGAGCAGCTAGAAACAGTAGATACACAACCGGGAAGCAGAGGGCAATGAACACTCCTTTTTAAACAGCCCAGGCTCGCACTTGGGCAATGGTGCACCCACAGTAGACAGGTCTTCCTACCTCAATTAACCTAATGAAGATAGGCGTGTCCAGGCAAATGTAGATAATACTGCATAGGTATGCCTGGAGGCTTCTCCCCTAGATGATTTAGATCCTGTGTAGCTGACAATTAATACTAACCATCACACTATTATATAAATGTGTGTCCTGAGTCAGGCTGCAAATGACCCTCAGACCCAGTTTTAAAACTTCTGGAAGCCCATGCTGTATTCTCCCACAGTAGGAGCTAGGCTTGGAGTTGATAGGATTGACAATTCAAAATGGAGATTAACCCAAATGTCAATGAAAAGATAATTTTAACTATAAAATTATATTGTAGCTTATTGCTTTGAGAGGCCACACAGACTCTATTTCTGTCACTCAGATCAGAGTTCATGAATGTGGTGGACTGGGGCTTCTTAATGCTGAATAATTAGCTTATATCAGTAAGAATCAACTTTTTAATCTCAAGACCTTTTTTTTTTTTTTTTTGGTCTTTTTGAGACAGGGTCTCCCTTTACTTTTAAAATTATTGAGAACTCTCTCAAAGAACTTTTATGTGAGTTATGCCATTGTGTTGAAATTAAAGCCTTTAAAGAATAGTTTTTTTCATTCATTCATAATGAAAATAGGATGGGTTGAGGAGATGGCTTTGTGGATAAAGTGCTTGCTGTGCAGGCTTGAGGACCTGAGTTCGTATCCCCGGAACCCACATAAAGCCAGATGTTGTTGTGCTCACCTGTAATCCCAGCACTCCAGTGAGATGGGAGGAGATGGGAAGTGGAGAGAGGAGCAGCTTGCAGGCCAGGTAGCCTGGTGCACATAGGGGAACAAGAGACCCTGCCTCAAACAAGGAGGAGGGCAAGGACTGAACCAGAGGCTGTCCTCTAATCTCTACCTGCAGCCCATGCACTTGAATACTCATGCTCACATGCACACACATAAACAAGCATACACATATATATTACAGACATATGCACACCTCATACATACACACACACATAAAGTTTTTCAAATAAAAATAAGGGCTGAGGGGCTGGAGAGATGGCTCAGCGGTTAAGAGCACTGGTTGTTCTTGCAGAAGACCCAGGTTAGAATCCCAGCACCCACATAGCAGCTAACAACTGTCTGTAACTCCAGTCCCAGGGCATCTGACAGCCTCTTCTGACCTCTGCGGGAATTGTATGACATGGGTGCACTTACCTACATGCAGGCAATACATGTATACACATAAAATAAAAGTAATAAATAAAATTAAAAAAAATAAGGGCTGAAAGCCAGGCATGATGGTACATACCTTTAATTCCAGAACTTGGAGGCAGAGACAGGTGGATCTCTGTGAGATCGAGCCCAGCCTGGTCTACATAACAAGTTCTGGGCTAGCTGGGGCTACATGGAGACCCTGTCTCGATGATGATGATGATGATGATGATGATGATGATGATGACAGGCTGAGGAAATGGCTCACTCAGTAAAGTGCTTGCCACACAAGTCTAGGGACCTGGGTTCAGATGCCCAGAACCACTTTTTTTTTTTAAGCCACTGATGGAGAGGCAGAAACAGGAAGATCCCTGAGGCTTGCTGGCCAGCCAGTCTAGCCAAATTACTGAGTGCTAGGTTCAGAGAATGACCATGTCTCAAAAGACAGGATGGAGAGCAATCAAGGAAGACACCAATGTTGACCTCAGGAACACACACACACATACCTACACATACATGTTCATATACATACATGAACACATAAACACACACTCAAGTAAAATAAAAATAATAAGCTGGGTGTGGTGGAGAACACCTGCAATCCCAATACTTGAAAGGTGGAGGCAAGAGGATCAAGAGTTCAAGGTCAACCTTAGTTATATAGTAAGCTCCAGGTTAGTCTTGGCTACATAAGCCCTGTCTCAAAAAGACTTATAAAATAAAAATAAATTTAAATTACACTATTAAATATATATGTTTTATGAAAAAATTAATTTCATAACAAGAAAATTAATGAGAAAAATATTCTACATAGTGAGATCCAAGCCACCTGGGGCTACAGAGAGCCCCTGTCTCAAAAAAATAAAAAAGACAGAAAAATATTGAACACTTTTGCAAGTATCTTTCCTGTCTGGCTTAGTAAAAAAAAACAGTGAGATTCTCAATATCTGTTTCTGCCTATAATTTGCTTCTATTTGTGTTGTTTCACATATATGAATAAGTCCTGGCCTCATAAGGACAATCAAATTGGACAAGGGGTACATCTTTTAATGCCTTTTTCAGATAACTGTGAATATTCTTTGATGATACATCAAAAATCATCAAATGACAATTTCTCAAAGTTTGGTTACAAGGTGCTATCTGGAATCCCATCTATCAACTTTTCATATTCTGTGGTATACTGAACCCCATTGTCCAACTCATCCTTGAATGGGTCTCTTACCTATACATGATGATGTAACATTAGACACTTGTTTCTTTGGAAAATACTAAGCCACTGAACTAAGATGGGGGGGGTCTTTCAAATGTCAACAGCTTCAATTAGACCATATTTTTAAAGTGTACTAATATCACCATTGATTTCACCAGAAAAGTCTACTTAGACACTGTCAAGCTCATGGCACAGAAAAACGTTTTCTAAACTAATGCCCATTTGACATCCCAAAAATTATCAGTGATAACATTAATTATCCTTTTTTTTTGGACATGACAGGCAATTTTTTTAAAAGCCTTTGTAATACCTATCTAAATAACCACAGTTTTTCCATCTTTCTTTCAAATAAAACTAATGTGCTGTCAAAAATAAAAACAAAGGTGTGGTGGCACACACTGGTAATTCCAGCAGTGAAGAGGCTAAGGTTAAGACAGGTTGAAGCTTACTATGACTCCATAGCTAGACTCTGTCTCAAAAAACCAAAGTAACCAATCCCCCCAAATAAAGAAAATCATATATTCAGCTGAAGTCAAGCATAGAAAATTTTCCTAGAGGCAAATATGGCACAGCTTTTAACAGCTGTGCTTTATCCATACTTTCTATCCCCCCCCCGCCGCCCTCCACGCAGAATTTTAAAAAGTATACCCAAGGATTGAATTTTAATAAAAGTGATGATTTTATCGTGACACCTGGCTCTGGCTGCTTTTCAAGTTTTCCAGAGAATGCACAGCAGCAAGAAATGCATTGACTAGTGTCTCAGGAAGGAAGGGTCTCGAGGAATTCCTCCATGGCTATTGGGGACCACCCTTTAAGGATGCTCAGAGTTCTTGCTGGAGCTACTAATTAATGCTTGGGATTAAGTGTGGTCATCTAAGCGCCAAAGAAGAGATATTCCCCCGGCGTGGGCAACATCCAAGAAGGAAAGGCACACAACTCAAGGCTCCTGAAGGAAGAAAAATGCTTAGAGCAAAAATAAATAACTAGCTTCAGCGAGCGGCCCCAGCTTGCCGTTGCCAGGGCGACGATCCCCGGCGAGAAGGCGCGGCCATCGATTGGCAATGCCTGTCCCGGGTCAGCCATCGCCGGAAGGCCACCTGGCAGCGGGCGCTCGCTCGCTCGGCGGTCGATTGAGGGGGCTCCTGGAGGCCAGGAAGGAGGGCGGGCGGGAACATGGCGGCTGCGGTGGCAGGTGGCCTGCCTGGGAAGGGGCACGACATCAGCCTGGCAGCCCTGCGGCGCCACGACCCCTACATCAACCGCATCGTGGACGTGGCCAGCCAGGTGGCTCTGTACACCTTCGGCCATCGGGCCAACGAGTGGGTGCGTGCGGACGCGGCGGCCGTGCGGGCGGGCGCTGGTGCAGGGAGGCCGGCGCGACCCGCCTGCAGGCGGGGAAGACGCATCTCGACATGCCCCGAGGGAGCAGAGCAGCGCCGGCGGCCCTCTCTGGGTGGGCCCGGCCAGGCCGCCCGGCCGAAGACCGACGCGCTGCGGCGGGACGCGACCCCCGCGCCCCCGCGGCAGGGCAGAGCGAGCCGGGCGTAGAGGGGCGCAGAGAAGGTCGGGCTCGCAGGGGGAGCAGCCACCCCGAGGCATACATTCAGGGCAGGCATCCGAGGAGCGAGCTGGGGGAATAAAGAGGAAATGGTTTTGGGTGTGACGAGAGGCTGGAAGATTATACACCCCAGACTTTGATGTAGGAGTCCATTGGGGAGCCCAGCCATTTCGGTGCGTTTCGCAAGACCGAGCCCGAGGCGACAGTAACGGGGATGAAATGTGGTTGTCCTCGCAGTTAGAATGCAGTGAGAACGGGAGGCATTTGAGTCCTGGCTTAAGAATTGATTCATACCATTTTGTAACCAACCTCTTCAGTATAGAGGTGTCATTTCCTCCTTTCTTCATGGTGGTTTTTGTACCAAACAATAGTCATTTGTTGATTACGTAACCATTGATCTTATTTTTAAATACGGTTCAAAGCAATATGAAGGGCCTGGGAGGATTTCAAATGATTTCTTTGATGTGTTCTCCAAGTCAGAAACAAACATCAACATTTATGCAAGGGAAACTTTCATATTGAGCAAATTCATGTGCTCCTTAGGCAGGCTGGAAAAAACGCATCCAAAGACCATGAACACAAAAAGGATGAAGGGTTGGAGATGTAACTTGGGGCAGGCCCGGGGTTCCACCCACAACACCTCCAAAAAAGGGGCAGGGAGAAGAGAGGATAGTTCTTCAGTGAGGCAAACCGTTTATTTTGCTCTCCTACTAGCCAAACCCCAAAGGAAAATGTGGAGAGCTCTGATCATCACTGCTCTAACTTGATTAACTGAGGCTGTTTTCCCTGGTTACTAGAGGAAATTACCACTTGCATCTTGTATGTAAAAGACATTGACCAATAAAGAAGACAACTTCCTCTGTGGTAACATATATATGTTCATATATATTTATATAAAGATAACCCTAAGTGTAACTTAGTGCTCTAAAGGAAGGTAGAGTGTAATTCTCTGAGGTCAATTCTGTAGTAGAGAGCTGACCGGAAAAGTACTATAAGTTTATTCAACAGGAGGCTCAATCTAGAAGATTCCGAGAAGCTCTTGAAATGTACGGTACATTTTCCCTGGAATAGCAAGTTTCCTAAAGTCTCTTCACAGTTATATGCGGCAGAGACCTTTTAAAATCCTTTCAGCTGTTTGCTAGATGCCCAGTGAAAGCCATCAACAAAAGCTTTATCTAAACTGCCACAATGTATTATCTACAGGAGTTTTGTTTTCCTGCTTTCTGGACTTGTTTCCTTCAGACGGCATAATTCATTCAGTAAAAGGTCATTCTTTCAAAGTACTAATCTTTTAGGCTGTGGTTGCCTGGCAAAGGACAGAAACCTCTTCAACTACAGCAGTCCCTGGGGGCAATCAAATTGTCACTATTGGTCTCCCTGTGCGTTAGTAATCAACTCTGGATGGAAGCCTTTTGAATGTAAACCTAATAAAAAGCATAAAGCATTCTTAAAGAGTGGAGGAGACTGTTTACAGGCAGGCAGGTGGGGTGTGAACCAGGGGAGTCCTTGTTACACTGGAAATCAACAACTTCAGGTATTTAGGAGGAGAAATGAGGAATGAAGCATGAATAGAGGATGAGTGCCTTAAAAAAAAAGTTCAAGAGCTTGAGGTAGAACTCAGTGAAAGAGCACGTTTTGCATGAGACCAGCCTTGGGTTCAATCCCCAGGACACATACACACACAGGAAGGACTGCAAAGGATTGTACCATGACTGGAACAAGAACTTGAGAACTAAATTTACTTCTTTTTGTCAGGAAAGACTGCCCCAACCCCCAATACCCTATGAGGCAATGAAAACCTAAGGATGGTATTGTTTCTTTCCTGTCAGACCATTTCCTCTCAGCTGCCTTTGATTTTGTCCCCAGGTGACATTTGGCAGTCTCAGAAGACATTGAGGATGAGGATGTTGGTGGCCTCTGTAGAGTAGAAGCAGGGATGTTGCTAAATGTCCTGCCAAGAGCAGGCATTGATTTAGCTAGTCCAGAACATCAACAATGCAAAGCTTAAGACACTGTCATAGGGCCACCATGCCCTGTATTTCCAGCTCATGGTTTCTAAGCGTTCTGTTTATCAAAAGTGGCTCAGAGTTTTCAGAAGTACAGTCTACCAGATCAAAACTGGACCACGAGGACAAGACATATTTTGATAGTGTCAGAAGTTTCAACATTCACATTGGAGAGACGGCTTTGGAAAAATAAACTGAGACCTGCTTTCATTATTTTAACTTAGAATAATCAGTAAAATTGAGATCGCTTTGAATCGTGTCAAATATTTCAAATAATATATGTAGTTCCAATTCTTTTCTTTTTGGTCTTTTTGAGACAGGGTCTCCCTGTAGCTCCAGCTGGACTGGAACTTGCTTAGTAGATCAGGCTGGCCTTGAACTCACAAAGATCTGCCTACCTCTGCCTCCCGAGTGCTGGGACAAAAGGCGTGTACTACCACGCCTGGCCTAGTTCCAATAATTTTCAAAACAGCATTATTCTACTGTTGTTTTGAATACTGAACCACTTTTTTGTAGCATTTAGATTTTTATAACAGCGTATTATGTCATTAAACTATACTTCAAAGTTTATGCTAAAATACTCCAGAACAAATAACTTTTAAAAATTTTTTTTATTTTATTTTATGTGTATACGTGTATTGTCTGCATGTAGATAAATGCACCCATGTTGTTCAGTGCCCACGGAGAACAGAAGAGACTGTCAGATTCCCTGGAACTGGAGTTAGAGACAGTTGTTAGCTGCCATGTGGGTGCTGGGATTTGAACCCAGGTCTTCTGCAAGAACAGTCAGTGTTTTTAACTGCTGAGCCATCTCTCCAGCCCCAGAACTAGTAACTTTTAAGTCTTCCATACTTGGGAGGATCTGAGGAAGATCTAATAAAATACTATTTTAGCTATTGCCACACCCCCAATTCTGGGCCTTGTATAGAAAGGGAAAAATTTCTGGCTGTCTTTAGACAGCTAGAGAAACCAGGAAAATCCGTTTGAGCTGGCACAGCCATAACAACAGTATTTCCAGAACTTCCTTTCTCCAAGTAAGAGCTTGTAAAATACCTTTGTTCCCCCCCCCCCCCCCAATTAATAGATCTGAGTTGTGTAAGCCAGTTACCTTTCAGTGGGGACAATAAGACAGAACAGTAAATGAATTATCCCAGCATGGTCTGGCAAGAATGGCACTCCAGGCCCATATTGTAATACTGAACCATCATTCCTTCCCATGAGCCTCTCCAGACAAAGCTCGGGTGTAAGAACTGTTTTTATGAATTAGACATAGTTCCCAGAGAAGCACTCCTTTTTATAGTTCTGATTTTGGATTATTCAAAACTAAAATGAGGCATTAAAGTTTTGATTTTTGAAGAGAATTTCTGTTACAAGGAAAAAAGAAACAGGTGGAAGTAATCAGCTTATTGTCCTGATAATGAATGCTCTGATTTGCATCTCCAAGGTCAACAAGTCCAAAGTCAAATACTCCAGTTTCCTTCAAGGCCTGAAACTGCTTTGGCCCTATGGGGCCACAGTGTACTTGGGTCCCTTGGAGCCCTGGTCTCCGCCATCCTGTCTCTTTGCTTCAGCTTCCTATCCATGTAATTCATAGTACCAAATCCTGGTTTTTGCGTTTTTTTTTTTTTTTTGGTCTTTTTGAGACAGGGTCTCCCTGTAGCCCCAGCTGTCCTGGAACTCACTATGTAGACTAGGCTAGCCTTGAACTCACAGAGATCTGTCTGCCCCTGCCTCCTGAGTGCTGGGATTAAAGGCGTGCACCACCACGCCTGGCTCGGTTTTTGCTTTTTTTTTAAGGCATTGTGGACTACTGAAACACTTGTTGGCTACGTCAATGTTAGTTCAGCTCTAAGTGGGTTTCATCAGTGGCCCAAGAGTACATTTCTGACAGGTTCCCAGGTGAAGCTGCTGCCCAGATCTGGACCACATTTAGAGACATGCTGAACTAAGTCACCAAGAAAATGGCCGAAATTCCTTGATCACATAAGATCATGCTTCAGTTCTGGACTTTAAAAAATGTTCTAATGTTACATCTTTTTTCTTAAAAAGTGTCTCTCTTGTATCAGAAGTATAGAGTAATTGGTTTTAAGTTATTTTGGTAATGAATATTAACAAAATATTGGGAGCTTAAATCGAATAATGTTGAAATTAAATTACCAAAAGCACATTTTAATTTCTGAATTATGATAGTCTGGTTAGTAGTTAAACGAAGAACCTAATGTGCCTTGATTTCGTTGAGGAACATGAGCATTCTGCAGAGCCTGGATTCCTGCCTTGGAGAAATGGAGAAAGAATGCCAAATAACTCAAACCCCCTTTTCCTTCACCACCTCCCCCAGATTTTCTCTGGCAGTGCTAGAGTCCTAACTTGGTTATATTTCTGTGTAATGATATTTCAAGTCTTGGGCCAGAACGTGACTCAAGTATTCTGCTCCAAGAAGGTGATTTATTCATTTGAAAATTCTGCAGCATAATCCTCCATGTCTGCCCGGCAGTCCAAATACAGTTATTGACAGATCACCTGTTCTAGTGGCAGGGTGTGGGAAGAGAAGTGAACGCAGAAATAAAGTGAAGGGTCATGTCATGCAGATGCTGGTTATCTTGGCAGCTTTCTGGGCACAAAGTTGCCATCTCTCTCACGAAGTCTGGGAGGCACTCGGCTCTTGCTGGTGAGCAGAGTGTCACTCGTGCCGTGTTTGGGAAGGGGAATGGTGGCAGTGCTGCTCTTCACTCAGCTGCCCCATCACCTCACGGCAGAGCCCCAGCCTTCACCTTCCTGGTGGCCCCTCTGCTCCATACCGCTGCTTTGCTTACTTGAAATGGGGTGTAATTCCTATGATGTTGCATAAGAAGTTCACATTCTCTACCTTAGCATAAAGAGAACATACAGATGGTGTGTGTTTGCTTCTATTTTTTAGGAGAAGACTGATGTGGAAGGAACCTTGTTTGTTTACACAAGGTAAGAGTGTTCTATTTTTAGAAAGAAACAATTTTTGAAATAATGTTTTAGCTCAATTTTGTCACTTCTCTAAGGCGGTTATATTTCAAAGAAGTACAGCAGCCGAATCTGAAATTACCAGTTGGCAGGAGGAATCGATACCACATAATGTCACTTGGTGTATTCTGATGAATACAAATTTCAGGGTATAATTTCAACTTAAATGTTTTGTATACTATTACATATTTATATTTTGATTCAAATGAATTGTGCATAGTTCTTGAGTACCATGGACTGCCAAGGAATTCAAAGTGTACTCTTGGACTGGAGAGATGCTCAGTGGTTAAGAGCTCTGGCTGCTCTTGCAGAGGACCTGGGTTTGGCTCCCAGCACCCACATGGCAGCTAACAACAGTCTGTGACTCCAGTTCCAGGGATCCAATCCCCTCTTTTAGTCTATGCAGACATTGGTTGCATGGGTTCACTTATGTACATGCAGGCAAAACACCTATACACACAAAAAAATACATAAATAAGCTTTAAGTATGGTATTAGGAATGTTAAGTTATTTAATCAATAGTTGGAAAGAGTTTTACAGACTATCCTCCCTGGCCCTTAACTGCTTTAAAAAGCATGTTGCAAAATTGAAGTTATCTCTTGGTCCTCCATTGTCTAGTTTATAGGGTATGTTTTAGGATTGATTTAATAAGCTCATACTGGGGCTGGAGAGATGGCTGAGCAGTTAAGAACACTGGTTGTTCTTACAAAAGACCCAGGTTCGAATCCCAGCACCCACATGGCAGCTAACAACTGTCCCTAACTCTAGTCCCAGGGGATCCAACAGCCTCTTCTGACCTCCACAGGCATTTCACGACATGGGTGTACTTAACCTACATTCAAGCAATACATGCATATACATAAAATAAAAATAATAAATAAAATTTAAAAAAATAAGCTCATGCTTTTAGTCATTTCTTTTTATCATATATTATCAACATTGTGTGTACATGCAGACATAAAATATATATAGGCTTAATAGCTACATTTTTATTCATATGAATTTCTAGAAAAATATCTTACTTAAATTCTGTCACCTTCAGTGGGAGTACATAGATGATATACAAAAGTGTAGTCCAAACCCTTCTTGGGATAACAATTTCACTGGGGAAATGAGTATACAACTATATTTTGGTTACTCCTGTGTTCAAGTTTAAGATAAACAATACAGTATGTACCATCCCAACTACTGGTTAATAGAGTTTAAGCAGTGAGTATGCTGTTATGGCTGTGGAAGGCTTTGTAGGATTGATGGGGCTTGAGTTGGCCTTCAGGAATAAGGTGGAATTTAACTTGCTTAGAGGACGAGGACAGGAAGCCTCTACAGGAGGAATGGAAAAGCAGAGACATGGCCTTCCTATGTAAAGGGGACAGTAGGGAAATACTCCCTGCTGTAGAGGGTTTGTATTAGCATGAGTGGTAGAATGGCACACCAATGATTTTGGGTTTATTTTCCTAGCAGTAGGGAGTGACTGAAGGCTTATGAATGGGAAAATACTTAATAGATATGAGAAAATGCATGGAGAGTTAGTGTATTAAATATTAGTAGGTGGCACTGGTTTGAAAAGAAACTGGAGGTAGGCAGGATGTTAAGGTGATGATTGCTATGAAATAGGTGAGAGTTGGGACCAGAGTGACTGAAGCTGAGGTAAAATACTGCGTGACTGAGGGTATGGGGACGTTGAGAAATGGCACTGATAGGAGAACACCAGTGTTTGAACAGAGGGACAAGAAGGTCAAGGATCTGGTTTGGGGCTAGGTTTCTGCTTGATCTGTTCCTCTATTTTATAGTGCTGGGGATGGAAGCCAGGGCCTCATGCTTACATACACTCTACCACTGATCTATACCCCCAGCCTTTGGTCTGCAGGTTTTCAAAGTGACAGTTTTGCAGTGGTCTTGGTAAATTGAAATTGAGGAATCCAGTCCCTTGAGATGGGGGTCAGAGTTGGCAATGGAGCATTTGCATTGTCTGAGAGGAGTATCAGGAGGACACTGATAGGAGGTGATACTGGATTTTAGGACCAGTAGGGATATAGACAAAACCAGAACTGAAATAGTCTTTAAAGGCCAGGTAGGGGGACAATAGAGGAACAAGGGGGAGGGTGGCACGGCGGTGGCAACTGTGGGGAAGAAGGTCTGTTGTGGAGGACCAAGAGGAATGCTGAAAGGAAGGAAGGAGAGCTGGGCCGTCAGGCTGGTAACAACGGGGCAGATTGTTCAGTCTCTGAAAGATGGTCTGAATACCCAAGTATTAGTGTGTCAGTCCGTGTTATGTTCCAGAACATTCCAGAGGCCAAGTGAGTTTGTTCAGTACATTCTTGAGACTCTGAAGAGAAAAACTGAAGAACACAGTATTTTCTCATTTCTCAGGATTATTTTGAGAAGGAAAGAAAAGTGTATTAGTACCTATTAATTATGATTTTAAGGACTTTTCTGCTGAATTATGCAATTAACTTTTACACTCAAATCAAATGTAGCTTTGAATCTCTAAATTTTGCTGCTGTTGTTTTCTTGGTTCTGAAACAGGGTTTCATATAGGCCAGGCTGGCCTTAGACTAGCTATGTAGCTGAAGATGACTTTGAACTTTTGATCTTCCCAAATTTTGGAATTACAGCCATGTGTCAGTTTATGTAATACTGGGGATGGACCTAGGGCTTCGTATATGCTAGGCAAGCATGCTACCAACAGAGCTACAGCCTGACCTTCCTATCCACCGTATCGCCAATGGAGTGATAAACATTAAGCTGAGAAAACAATCCTTCCCTGTTTCTTAATCTCTTCCCCCAAACTAATTCCTCAAGAAGATGGTGTCTGCTGCCACCACATCCTCTTCACGTGTATACACTCTCCCTACCAGTCTTTCCCTCGGTGTGGAATGATAGCAAAATTCAAAGCAGTTTGAGTTGCCAGTAAGGAAGCTGCCCATGGCACTTCCTTACCTATTTCTCTTCCAGAGTGTTTATAGTACCGCTGACATCTTTATTCCTGGGCCTGTTGTATAAACTACTATATAGTCCCCATGCTACTAATGCCATGAGACCTTGTGCTGTTGAAATCCATGAAGATACCTGACCCTACTCCAAGAATGTTGTCTTCCGGCCTCTCCTGTCTTCCTACCTGTGATACAGTTCATAGAGACACATACTGATGATTTCTGATCTTGGTATTCAGGGGCCCTCTGTTAGTCTTAGGAGTACATTTTCACCTCCTCCTCCTAAGTTTAAATAGAAACGATTTCCTGTATGGAGTCTATGCCATCACCACTGTATCTCTTTGTAGAATAAACTCATCAAAGAATGCCTTCTGTCAGCTTAAAAGTTGGAGGTTTTAAAATAAAATCCTGTTAAGTGGCAAAGTAGCTGTGTTTTGCTTTTTATCAGTATCATATGATTTATCAGTATCATATGATTAAAAGTGAAATAAAACTAAGGGGTAAACACTTTTCCCCTGTTGCCTATAGCATTTTTATGGCTTTCTTAGTAATAACTTCAATACCCCATTTTAAATTAAATAAATGAATTCTGCTTACTTCTGTTTTAATGTGTATGTAGTGTTCATTTGTCACCACAAGTTTCTTGATTGAATTATGATGTGGCTGTCATCCCAGGGCAGACAAATGCACATATAATTGTTAGTTTATACTGTTATAGTATGGGTCGTCTGTGCCTGACAGAGGAGGCACAAGATTTATTGTACAAAATGAAAAAGAAAAGTCACTAAAGGCCACATTTTTATTGAGAAAAATTTTATAGTAGCTTGTCTAAAAAGCTGTTAGCTTTATACTGAAAGAAGCAAAGTATCTGTGCTTTGGGCCAATGTATAAACTTAAATGTACCGTATCTCACAGGTTCATTAACCAGAGTTGCTTCATTTTCTTGAAGCTTTCAATTTCAAACAAACATCTGCACTTCCTATGAATTTTTCATGCAATTATGATGTGCATCCTCTGAACTCTGAAAATCTGTCAGAAGACTTTTTAAAGTCATTACCATCTCTGCCCTAAAAGAATTTACAACCTAGATAGGGAGATAAGACATGTAGACATACACAAGATTACACCTCTGCACAGTTAAAGAAGTAAGACTGTCTTTGGGACAGTTCTGTGGTATTGCATACAAATTAGTATGGAATGGTTCCAGGAGTAAACAAATGTTGTTTTATATGTGTAGAGTTCTGCTTCTGTGGAATGCACAGGAAAGAGTTAAGAGACACATCTGATTGAAGCTGCACTGCAAGTATGCTACACTTAGCAACTTGTCTTTCCCCCACTCCATGATTTTCAGGTCTGCTTCTCCAAAGCATGGATTCACCATTATGAATAGGCTCAGCATGGAAAACAGAACAGAACCTATTACTAAAGACCTGGACTTCCAGCTCCAGGACCCTTTCCTTCTCTACAGAAATGCCAGATGTGAGTCTCTTAAACAGTGGTAGTTACATTTCTGAAGTTTGGCCAAGTGTCTGAAGGTGCGGAATCCTCCTTGCGTCTCTGTTTAGTATCAGTGACTAGGGGTTGGCATTTGTTAGCTTGGAAACGGCTCCTAGAAAAGTTCAATGAGAGCTTCCTTAACACCTGTCTTAAGCAGCTCTCCTCTTGTAGCATGAGCCAGTCATCCACTTTAAGCCTGAGCAGGGCGGGAGAGGCAAGTGCTCAGTCAGAGACTGGAGAGGAACACATAAGATTTGGCGCCACTAAACACAGAAATAACACTTTGGTTAGTGGTCGTTTTTCCTAATGTATCACCTCTGACCAAGCACATTGAGAAAGTGGTAGAGAGAGAGGCCTATGTTCTTTAAGAACTATCTTTTGAATATGTAGTAATTGAAAAATCAAAATCCGAAGAGTCCTGGCCTCTTTAGGTTTCTTACCCCTTTATAATAATGTTGAAATTGCAGTAGGTAACTGTTGGGCTTAGCCGTTGCCTATATAGTATTATGCCTTCATTGATTCTTGTGTCTTATCTGACACTTGTTTTGGACCAGAGAAACACTACTGAAGCTGTCAGCTTCAGGGGCCCCTTCACCGTAGAACACAGGAGCGTGCTGCCTGATAAGTAAGTATCTGCATGCTCTTAGGCTTTGGGTGATTTTCAAAAAGACATTGCAGTCTAGTGATGCTTTCTACTCTTGGGTTTAAGATAAGACTTTGGGGCTAGTGAGGTAGCACAGTAGGTAAAGGGATAAAGTGCTTCCAGCATGAGGACCTTAGTTCGACTCTCCAGCACTCAAATTTAAAGAAAAACAAAAAGCCCGATACACACTGGCTTGTAACTCCAGTGCTGGAGGGCGAGGGCAGGTGGGTGTGCAGGGCTTGCTGGCCAGCCTAGCTGAAACTGCAAACACCGGGTTTAGTGAGAAACTCACACAAAATAAGGTGAAGGGGGCCATCAAGATGGTTCTGCAGATCAAGGCCCTTGCCTCCAAGCCTGATGACCTGAGTTTGATCCCTGGAGCCCACATAAAGGTGAAAGGAGAGAACCAACCACCACAAATTGTCCTCTGACCTTCGCATCTTTCACATTGCATGTGCTGTGGTTCATGCATACACCCCCCCCAAATTAGTGTAAAAAACATCCCTCAAATTAATGTAAAAAAATAAACAAGGTGTAGACAGATAGAGGAAGATGCCTGAAGTTGACCTCTGGCCTTCACTCCCACATACACACAAGCATACTCACACTTGCATACAACACAAACAAAAGGGGCTGGGAGATGGCTTGGTGGTTAAAGTGCTTGTTCTTCAAGCATGAGGACCTGAGTTTGGATCCCCAGCACCCTTGTAAAAGTCAGGGGTGGTGGCATGTGTCTGTAACCCCATTGCCAGGGGCAGTGAGAGTCCCTGTCCCAAAAAATAAGATGGGAAAGCGATTGAGGAAGACATCCTGACATCAACCTCTGACCTCTACACATTCTACATGGGTGAGTGCAATTGCACACATGAGCTCACACATACAACACACACAGAATTTGCTTATTGTATACTATTCAATGAATTTTAATAATGTAATACAAGTAATATTTGATAATTACAATGAATGGTTTCAAACAAAATGTGGCATCATTTAATGTGTTAAATATTTAATACTGATATTTACTTATACTTGCACATAATTAAGCTGTGATAAGTAGAACATTCCTTAAATTTCTATGAGAAAAAAACATAAGAACTACTAAAACTGTGACATGACCTACCAGTGGTAAGTCTTATGAAAAGAAAGATTTTCAGTATAAAACGAAGTCTGGTTTTTGCTGTGTATTTAGTTAAGTCAGACTTTTTTTTTTTTTTAAAGACTATTGCATTTGAGCTGAGGAGATAGCTCAGTTGCACTGACATGACTGCTTGAGTTCATTCCCAGAACCCACATGAAATAGCTGGACATGGTAGTGATGGTGCGTGCTTGTACATGGGAAGCGGAGACAGGGGTCCCTGGGGCTCCCTGACCAGCCAGCTGAGTTTATTGGGTGAGTGCGAAGATGGTGAGAAGCTGTCTCAAACAACAGAATGGACAGCACCTTAGAAAGAACAGCACACAAATATAAACCTCTGGCTCACACACAATATTACATTCAGTTATGAAAATAGCAAAAATTCAATTTAAAAAACAGAAAAAATTTAAATCCTTTATGTAACCACAAAAATATATGTGGAATAAATGAATTCCAGTGACTTTCATAATCATTCTTAGTTGCTTTATTTTGAATAAATACTTGATCTAGTCATATTTTAAGTCTTCAAATATTTTTAGTGAATTTTTGCAAATTTCCTAGAATATATGTAATTCGTGTTTAGACCCCTACCCTATCTGCACCCCTCTTCATGCCCCCCCTGCCAAATTTCATTTCTATATTAAGGCCTGTTGGGTCAAATTTGTGTCCCTAAATGCCCTTCTGTGCAGAGTGTGGGTCCATCCTCCGAAGCCTGGCTAACCTATGTAGCATCACACCTTAAAGAAAACTGACTTTCCCTCTCCCAGCAGCTGTTAATTGCCAATAGTTCCTCAGCTAGGCCTGAAGTTTCTCACCCACTTCCCCATTTCTTTGTTGGGATTTTGTCTGGCTTGAGCTTACATGGGTCTTGTGCATGCTGTCACCATTGCTGTGAGTTCGTATGAGTAATTTCCCAGCTGTCTGAAAGACTTTCCTTGTGGTCATCCACCACCTCTGACTCTTACCATCTTTCTGCCCCTCTTCTGCAATGATCCTGTCACATGCTGTACCAAAACTATAAAATTTTCTTTAATGCATTGATTTTAAAAATACCTTTTCTGGGGCTGGAGAGATGGCTCAGCAGTTAAGAGCAGTGGCTGCTCTTACAGAGGACCCGGGTTCGATTCCCAGCACCTACATGGCGGCTTTGAACCGTCCTTAACTCCAGTTCCAGGGGAATCCGAAGCCCTCTTCTGACCTCCATGGCATTGCACAACACGGGTGCACTCACATACATGGAGGCAATACACTCATACACATTAAATTAAAAAATAAATAAATAAAATATTAAAATACCTTTTCCAAATCTCACAAAGACTGTTTGGTAGAAAATATTGTGTGGAAGTAACACACAGGAATGCTATTCAGTAAGGTCTCCAGTGGCCACTTCTACCTGTTGACCTCTTGAAACGTGGCTTGTCTTAAGGAACAGTGCTGTGTATATAAAATACATACTCACTTTTCGACGACAGCACAAAAGAAATTTTTTAATCTTGTAATTTTTATATTGATTAACATGTTGAAATGATATTTTGATAATTGGGCTAAATAAAATGTATTCTTAAATTTACTTTCACCTGTTTCTTGTTATTTTCTTTTAAAATCACATGAGACTCGCATCTGCGGTTTTTATATTTCTGCTGACTAGCACTGTTGTTTTCATTTGTTCCTTTTGTAGAGTTTGTTTCTCTTTCTGATTCCGTAGTCCCAGCTATGCAGACTGTGCCTTCTCATTGCCATTTGCAGAGTGAGGAAACCTAGGCTCCAGGAGCTGACAGACCATCTGTAAGGCAGTGGACTCACCCTGGGTGCCGAACACCCCTGGACTGCTCTCTCTGAGGCTGAACATGAATGGAGTTGAAGGCAGTCTTTGGGATGCATGTGTGTTGTTGCTTCTGAATTTCCACATACACAAAGGAAATCAGTTGAACGGAGAATCGGGGTGATGTCTGCTACTCTCCTTAGTTCATTTTGCTTCCTTTTGTTCTCCTTACTGTCTGATGCCCATTGACTTTGAAACCAGTCGTTTGCTTTTAGTTTATTTGTAAAAGCTTTTTCAGTCCTTGGTGTCAAAAGTACACAGAAAGCTTATCACACATGCTATCAGGGTCTTAGGAACCTCTCAGGTATTTCTTAGGGCTCAGATATTTTAGTTAATAGTTGTGACTTTCATATTCTCTAATAAGGAGCCTGACTTCATGCAGGATTGTTTTTTGGGGGAGTCTGTCTCCTCAAGGTCTGTACAATCCAGTCTTGGGAGCGCTTGGCCTTTCACATGGCCACATGGTCATGAACCATATCGGGGGGTACTGCAATAAAGGCGCTAGTACAGAGTCATGGTGACTTTTCTCAAAGAAATTTTTAGACTCAGTGAGGAAAAAAAAACCCGATACCTAAAATTCTAACTATCCCTCTCTTGAATTGGATGAATCTGTAGAAGCAAAATAAAGAAGTGAAAAATCTCTCTTCATTTAATTAGCAAAGGGAAAAAAAGTCATGTTTAGATAAGTAACCTTGACTCTTTATAAATTATACAAAATATTTTATTATAAAGGGTTTATAGTCTGAGCTTTATTATAGTTTATTGAAATGAGATTTGACCTAAGTAGGACTTTATTTATGTAGTGTGTGTGTGTGTGTGTGTGTGTGTGTGTGTGTGTGTGTGTGTGTGTGTGTGCATGTGCATGTGTGCGTGTGGTTCATGCACATGCATGTGCAAGTGTGTGCAGCGTGGAGAGGCCAGAGATGTCAGGTGTCAAACTCTATTCTCCTTTTTGTTTTAAGACAGGATTCTATCAGTGAAGTGGCAGCTCACTGTTCTGGCTAGGCCGGATAGCTTGTGAGCTCCCAGGATCTGTCTGTCTCCAGCCCTGCCCCACACCACCACCATCACCCCTCCCACAGTGCTGGAGTTATAGCCATGACCTGCTTTTCTAAATAAGCTTTAAAAAGCAAATAAAATTGCTGTTAAATTTGGGGCGAAATTTTATTCATTCAACAAACATGTCTGGAAAAACTGATTCCTGTTTCATAAATGAGGATATTATGGTTAAAGGTAATTTGAATGGCAAAAGACCAGTGTTGGGACCCCAGGCCCAAGCGATGAAAGTGTTAACAATGGTTAATGTATTTGAGCAAAGTGTACCTTTTAATAAGTAAGTTTTCTTAGTGTACACTCCAAATCTTAAAAAGAAGTTTCTTTTA